ATTGATTACTCAACTAATTGCCTGAGTAATACATATGACAGCAGGTGAGTTTTTGTATTTGCTACTTCTTTTGTTATGATTCTCATTGTATAGCTTATGTGCTCATATGGTCCAGGTTTGTGGTGTGATGCTACTGGCTGGCTAGATTTAACAGAATTTCTGTATTAGTACCCTTTTTTCAAAAGCATTTGAGTCACTGCAAATGATGACTGATTGTGTTTCCCCACTTCAGTTTGAAACTCATTTACTTTTATGTGCACTGTGTTGTAGGAGGCGCTTTCGTATTATACAGATGAGCAAGAAGTTTTGGGCACAGGAAAGATGAATCAAATAGGAGGGGGACAAGCACCAGAATAAGTGCAATAACTGAGCAAAAACCCGAGTGTCCACTGGAGGATGAACCGTTTGACATTCCTGGGTCCCTTCCACTCTCAGAGAATACGTATTGGAGAGGAGAAAGCATCTGGTTGAGAAATGGGTTAAGGCTTCGTAGAAGAGATTGTATTTGAGATGGGCTTAGGTTTTTGACCCGTTGAATTTAAGAACTGGATACTACGTGAAAAACAGATGCTAGGAAATTTATGTTTGACTCATAACAAGTGAAGTGCTTTATTCTGAAGGGAAACAAGATTAGTTTTTTGACACGTGTAATGAAAATTGGGCCAAAATCTGTGATTTTTTTTTTTCTTAGGTTTACTGTCTTTTTTTCCTGGAATTTTAAGTGTAATTTCAGTGAGTCATTTTTTTTTTATTGAAGACTGTTATTACTATGATTTTAACAAAAATGCAATTGTGAAGTATATACTATGTTATTTCCTGAGTATCTTTGAGGAATTTTGATCTCTAAACTGAATATTTTCTAAAATTTTTTGGGGGGGATTATTTTTCAACATCCTCTGAAATGACTTTCATAATCTCTATACCCATACATTTTTTTCTTATTATGATTAAGAAGCCCTTGCTAATTTTTCTGTGTCCAGGGCTGTATCAAAAGTAGGTAGAATTTTTTCCTTGTTCATCACTGGCTGAATTTATCAGTATTTTTCAGCTGCTACCTGTAGGCATCACTCATCTTTCCACATAATGAAATAACTTCACCATCTTTATTTAGGGTAGCAGAAAGCCTGATATTTTAGAAATGGATCCTGAAGAATTCATGGATGAACTATCAGGGTGTCTTGATTTGTTTTAAAATAGAGTTGAAAAGAATCCATTTTGAAGTGTGGAGCTGAGTTTCATGGTAATGCACCAGTGTTAATTTCCTGGTTCTGCCAAGCGTTACTAAGGTATGTAATGGTATGTACGGCATGAGCTTTAGGGCAAAGTAGATGAAGAGTACCTGGGGACTCTGTACTCACTCTGTACCTTTTCTGTAAATTTTAAATTATTACCAAATAAAAAGTTTATTTAAAGAAATGAAAAGGGAGCTGAAGCAAATGTGGCAAAAAGTTGAAAATGGTTGAAATCGGTTGAGGGTTCTGTGCCCTTCTCTTGGGAAGAACTTTGCAGATCTCCCTTGCTCATGTGTGGGTGTGAGATTAGAGGGCTGCCCAAGCACAGACGTCTTTCTCCCGTTGTTCATGTGACCTCTTTGGCTACGCAGTTGTTCCCAGCACTTAGCATTCTCAAGACTGCCAACTTCCTTAGAGGAGAGAAGATGAATGATTTCTGGTGAGTAAGTCTCATGATGGGTTAAGATATAATTCAGCTGTAATTTGCCATCATAAATGAGTTACTAGAAAATTGGACACTTTTTCTTTTTTTTTTTTTTAACTATCCTTCTATCACCAGTTGTCCAGGCACCCCTTGTAAGTTGTCGATATAATTTAGAGTAAGCCATCAAAAAGGGGAACTAAAAGTATATGCTAATAAAATGTTAACGTTAGGAATGCTGCAGTGTGTCTGGTTTTCTTGCTTAAAAAGAAGGAGAAGTGTGACTAACGTGTCATGCATGTGAGGAGAATATAAATGTGATTTTTAACCCCCGCTTTGCCCTAAAATGTGGCTCTAGGGAGTGAAGGCCAAGGAGAGAGGACTAAAAGGAGAACTGACCAAAAGATTCAAGAAAATAAACTAGTTTAATATATGCTCCTGTATGAACAATATCTTGACCTGCCCATCAATAAAAACATATACTTAGATCACTAGCAAGCACAGGTTCTGGTGTCTAGGCCTGTACCGGCCTGTAACACAGGTAAGTCATCTACACCCTTGGCCGTGTGGGACGTGTGATGCTGACGGGGGTTCCCGTCACTGGCCAGCTGGAGTTGGTCCAGTACCTACCATGTTCCAAGGGTAACAGGCACTCTTTTGGGTGCATTTTCTCACTTACTATTCTCCTCAAACTCAGAGAATGTATTATGAAATTATAGATACAAGTTGTCTTGGGTTCAGACTTCTGAAAATAGTTCTCAGCACGGAGCTAAAAATAAGTCTGGAATCAGGCTTGTTTTGTTAGCTCCCAGGAACACCATTTCTTTCTTTTTTCTTTTTTTCCCTCTCTCCATCCTTTGAAATCATTTACTTATTTTGATTGAGGTAGCATTTATTTGTAACATTATATAAGTTTCAGTTGTGCAACATTATAATTCTACTTCCGTGTGCTCTGTAACATGCTCACCTCTCAAAACTTTGTTTCCCTCCATCACCATGCAGTTGATCCTTTACCCAGCCCTCCCCCCATCCCAGCACACACGCACGTGCCCCTCTTCCCCTCTGGTAACTGCTACTCTCTGTATCTATGTGTTTGATTTTGCTTGAGGAAAGCCATTTCTTCATTTTAACAGCTAGTGCAAATACATTACCAATTGTGTGCTTTTAGTACTGAAATGAGAAAAAAAAAAGTCTCATGTTGGCTTCTCTAAACTTTTTAATCTTCTTTTCCTTGAATACGTCTTTTATTACCATCTATTGAATCCTTTCTGCATTACTGGCAGTGGAGAGAATTTGATTAAAGGGTTGTGACTCTGAGAGTAGAGTCACTCGTACTTTGAAGTGCAGGCCCTTCATGGGATCAGACTTATCTTCAGGATCTGAGCGGTGCCAGTCAGCCCAGCCCGTGCTGTATTTCTTCTTCTTTTTAAAAATTTTTTTTCCTTTTGGGGGGGTAATTAGGTGTTTGTTTGTTTGTTTGTTTATTGGAGGTACTGGAGATTGAACCCAGGGGCCTTGTGCATGCTAAGCACGTGCTGTACCGTTGAGCTGTATCCTCCCACAGTGTGCTGCATTTCTGACTAGGCCTTGCCCCTGCTGCATGCAGCCAGCTTATCTATTTTAAGACTATTTGATGTGTTATTTTTCCATATCTTTGATGTGAGTTGCTAGTTGCAAAAGAGTAGTTTTAGCAGTTAAATTTAACACCCTCCCCGCCAGACGTTGTAGGTCTATATCGTGTTACTGCAAAATAAAAATAAGAAATCAATGGATTTGTCATTACTGACAGTAGAAAATCTTTATTTATAACCCCCAGGTAGAATATAAGGATATATACAGTACATTAAAAACTATGTATTTTCAGGCCTTTTTAGAAGTAAAAATTTTTAGCTATTGGGTTAGGAAACAATTAGATGTTGAAAATTGGAGTGGTGAGCTAAAAGGTTACCATCTTTTAAGTGATGGATTAAAAATAAATCAGGCACAAGTGGTTTCATGTAAAAAAAAAATCGGCTGGCTTTTTTTTTTTTTTTTAAGCTATCTAAAGGGCTTTAAGTTATGTTGCTGAAGGGCGTTCTGGCAACTTATATAGAGATTATTTTGCATCTTTCTATCAAAAAGTCAATTCCAGGCCTTTAAATGAATTATGCCTCATGAGTACCTCTAAGACTGTGTCCTAGAACTCATTTTAGATTTCAGGGCTATTGCAAGGTTTCGTACTGGTTCAACAAGATTTATTAGTTTTTTGTACAAACATTTGGGTTAAGGAGAGTCAACAAGAGTACTGCTTGGCTTGCATTTAGAAACAAGGCTGCTCCGTAAACCAAGCCACATTTGCTAGCCCCCGGTATTTTTACGTAATTACTGAGGCTCTTTTTTCCCCTTCCTTCCTAGTAGTTTGGTACTTAATTGTCCAATGAGGCAAGAAATGATAGCATGAAAAATGCCGTATTTTATGCATTGCTTTCACAGCTTGATTTTCCTTTCTGAGCTTTGGTCTCCTTACTTGAAGCAAAAGTCTCAGTGACCTTTAAGCGGAAAGCTTTTGAGAGATGATAGTACAGAATCGGATCGAAACACAGGTTGGACACGGCCAGGAGCAATGTGGCCTCTTTGGCTTTGAAGAGGGAAATCCTGGTAGGGCAGTCAGATATGACCTCTGTTGTCTGGCTGAGGGTGTATGGGATTCGGACAATGTGGTAAGGAACAAAACATACGATGTAGCCTGCGGTCACTAAAAGTATACTGATGAGAGCTCTTTTCACGTTTGGATAATTTTCATTGTCTTTGTTTCTGTAGAGTTGTCGAATTACAAGGCAGTTAGATATTAAGATGATGGCTGAGAAGTTTAAAAATATCGCTATGCATATGAAATTTGTCAGCAGATGCCAGTTTCTTCCAAACTCTTTTTTGAATTCCATGCAACCCACGTTGGGTTTTTCCTTGATGTCTTTGATAGGAATTACCATATTTGGCACCATGATAAGGAGGACCATGAGCCACACAACGGTCGATATCATTTTGGCAAATCCAGGTTCTTGTATTCGATAGATCTTGAAGCTGTGTGTCAACTGAAGACAGCGATCAATGCTAACAAATGCCAAGAATATAATTGATAAGTACATATTAATGTAGATAAGGCAGGCTGTTACTTGGCAGTGGAATATCCTTAGCTTCCAGGGTGCCACACCCAAGTCGACAGCTATTTTCACTGGTAACGCCAGAGTCAGCAGGAAGTCAGCTGTGAGCAAATTAAGTAAGTATATGCTTACACACCTGTGGTTCGCGTTGTTCTGTATGAAAGCCCAGGTTGCGAAACAGCTTCCAATAATTCCAACAAGGAAAACTAAATAAAAAAAATACGTGAATGGCTCCAGGTCTGTGTAAACTGGACAGAAGGTAGAACTGTTTGTCATCTTGAGGAAGAGTAAGGATGACTGTCAAAAAAAACAAATCCAAAGAATCTGTTTAAAAAAAGTGGTTAGGGGAGGGAAGGGAGGTTAGTAACTAAAATTAGAAATTATTTTCTTTACACACATTTGTACTCACAAAACCACGATCACAGCCTCTGTGCTTCTAAGAATTTCATTGGTGAATTTTATTAGGTTGTGTGGACTAGTGAGAACATGTTAGATTATGAGGAAGCCTGGGTTTTCCATGGTCTGATTTTGTGACTTTGGGAAATCCCATGTAGGTTGCTTCTAGAAGGGCTATTTTTGACTTCCTGCTTTTGCATTCTGATAGATCATTTGTTACCAGTTGGGTTGGAAGTTCGTTTGCAGAGGAGATAAGTAAACTGAAATTCTGAGAAATAGCAGGGGAAGAAATGGTTTGGTTGTGGCTGAGCCTGAAGAACTTTCAGTGAGGCTTCCTGGCTTTTTGTTTTTGTAGATTGATAGAACTCATGCTGGAGGAACCTAGGCTGAGAGGGGAGGGAAAGGGTGACAGAAAATTGTACTAAAATTTAAAAGACTTTATTTAAAAAGTAGGCCCTTTATTATATAACCTACCAGAATATTTTTGTTTTTCTTTTTTAGCAGAAAAAGTTGTAGGATTAGAATTTGGTCTTGCCTTGACCCTCCAGATCCATGATGGTATAGACCTGTGCTGTCCATATGGTAGCCTGCAGCCACAGGTGACCATTGAGCACTTGAGATCTGGCCAGTCCAAATTGACATGCGATGTAAGTGCCGAATACCCACTGGGTCTTAAAGATTTAGTATAAAGTATTGTAAAGAGTAGTGCAAATTGTAAAGTTGCACTATTTTATGCAAATAGTACAATAATTAGATCTCTCTCTCTCTTTTTAAATTGAAGTGTAGTTAATTTACAGTATTGTAGTTTCTGGTGCACAGCATAGTGATTCAGTTGTATAAATTCTTCAGATTCTTTTCTATTATAAGCTGTTAACAAGATATTGAATATAGTTCCCTGTGCTATACTGCAGGACCTTGTTGTTTTATCTATTTTATGTACAATAGTGTGGAATCTGTTATCCTGTTTCTTTGTGCTTTTTTTAAGTGTGGCTGGCAGATAATTTTAAAGTACCTTTGTGATTTGCTTTGTATTTCTGTTGAAGTACTTGCATAGATGTTTTTGTGTTGGCGTTGGTGAGAAATTTGACCAAGAATGTATTTTAAAGGCTTCTAGAGCAAGGATGTGTGATCACTGGTTATAAAACTCTCAAAGAGAAGCTCAGCTGTGTATATATATAGATGTGTCAAAACATCTAACTTTAACACGTGAGGGTTTTCTTGTGGGTTTTGAGACAGTCAGGGCCAGAAGTGTAAGACACACCCTTAGCTCCATTGTGATTGACACTGATAATAACATAATCTTGTCACGTTCCCTCTGTATCTGGCACACTGGGTGTTTTATAGCACAAGCTGAACAAACTGGACTTCATTTAGTCCCTTAGACCTGGTGGAGTCAGACTCATACCCTCAGGGCCGCAGCCATTCTTCCTGGTGCCGTGTCCTGATACACACCCTCCTCATGCATATTAAACACCTTCTGTTGTTTTTTATGATCAGAAGATAATTTTTGTGTTTTAGCAAGGAAAAATTGATATACAACGTTTTAAAATAGCAAAGAGTAAGTGCAATGGCTAAGAAGTCCAAACAAACCCATTCTCTGAAACCTCCCTTTAAAAAACAAGCAAACAAAAACTTTGGAAGCCTTTCGACATCTTAATTCTCCTAATTATTTAATGATGCACTGTGTACGTCTTGGGGTGAAACAATATACAAGTGGATGGATAAGGCAGATGTACATACAACTTTCTAAGTTAAAGTGGCATTTAAAGGGTACGTGTCCGTCCCCTTTCCTACCTGAGAGAGGGCTTGAGGGTCCTACGAGTAAATAGCGTCACTCTCTACCGAGCGCAGCAAAAATAACCGTGCGCGCACTTTGTGTCTGGCACTGTGCCCAGAACCTTACGCGTACGTATTTAACCTTCATCATTCCTGTCATGTAGGTGTTATTAACCCTGTTTCACAGGTGAGAAAACTGAGGCACTAGGAGGTTAACTAACACTCAGCGTTATACAGCTGGTAAGCTATAGAGGCAGGATTCCCGCCGGACAGTCTGCTGTCTGAAGCCGTGTTCAGAACCACTTGAGAACTGCCTCAGTAACGATAGTAGTAATGATGGTGGTGATTGTCACCGAAGTAGCCAGCCTTTACCAAGCGCTTCCTGTGTGGAAGAAACTATATTCTAAGCAATACTTATGTAAAAGAGCAGAAATGAAATACTCATTCTTGATTTTTTTTCCTAAATACTAATAAAAGTCCTTTAGGCTACATGTGTTTTGATGTTTCATTTTACAATGCATATATTTAAAAACCAAACCTAGTTTCTATCTTGTTAAACCTCCTTTACTTTCAAAATTCCCATGACCTTGTTCCCCCCATACCTTCCGCACTGTCTTCATCCCAGCTCTCTACTTTAGGCTGGTGGGGTCTCTGCTGTTCTGTGAACTCTACCTCCTGCCTTTGTACTTCTTGTTGTGATACAGCTGGGGGGGGACCATCGGACTTTAAGGATGGAGGGAACCTCTGTTCATAGTGTCTAGTCCAATCCTTAGATGAGTTGAGGAGACTGAAGTCTGGCACTTGGGGGTTGGTCCAGGCTTCACGGCCTCGTTGATCATTCTGTCGGCCCCCTACCTTTATCCTTCCCATATGAATCCTGCCTCCCCTGAATGCCCGGAGGAGGCTCTTCAGGCCTGAAGTCTGCTCCAGGCTTTACTGACTTCCTTGTGACTTGACTTTTTTTTTAATTGAAGTATAGTTGATTTACAACATTGTGTTAATTTCTGGTGTACAGTAAAGTGATTGAGTTGTACTATATGTATGTCTTCTTTTTCATATTCTTTTTCCATTATGATTTATTGTAGGATATTGACAGTAGTTCCCTGTGCTGTACAGTAGGACCTTGTTTATCTGTCTTACATACAGCAGTTTGTATCTGCTAATTCCAAACTCCCAGTTTATCCCCCATCCCTTCTCCACCCCCTCCCCTTTGGTAGCCATAAGTTTGTTTTCAAAGTCTGTGAGTCTGTTTCTGTTTTGTAAATAAGTTCCTTTGTATGACTTGACTTTTGATAGTAGCCATTTATTTAGTACGTTTAGAAACGTCCTTTTCTTCTCTGGGTCAAAAGCTCGTGCTGGTGTAGATGGAGCCTTTGCTCATTGTTCCTTTACAAAGTGCTAGGATTTTGGCCTGTGCCCTTGTATTTCAGATGTTACATTATTATAATAGTAACATAAAATGTGTTTCTTTAAGGGCCCCTATTGCTCATACAACTATACAGTAAAGTTCCATTTCATAGTTGAATATGTGATAAGGAGAAGGATTAGAGAATAATATTTTGATCAATTAACATTCTCTGTAACTAGAACTGACCATATATACAACCCGTGGATGATTTATTTAAAAAATAATTATAGTGTAACTATTCATTCCATAATGCTTGAGAGTCATGCAGTGCCTCACAGTTGCTTTTTTTTTAAATCTGTCTAGATTGCCACGAGACACAAATCTCTTCATTTAAAAATTTTGGTTATGTCAGTTAGAGGTTAAATTATACTATAATAACATTCTATGTTCTCTCTCACAAATTTGAAAACTAAGTGCTTGATAAATATTTTTTCAGCCATTTATTAGCCTGTGGAAATCTGAGGTACCCAGACGTATTTCAGCAAAATGAAGAAAAGCTTTCAAGTGTCTCTCTTGTTTGGATAGAGGGCCCATTGCTTAGAAAGTAAATAAACTCATTAGATTCTTTTTTTTACCAAAGTCGTCACAATGATATTTTCTTGAAATTGCCTATCGTAATGTTTGTAGAGGAAAGTCGTTTTAAGACCTGTTCTACCCTGTTGTGAAGGCCTACAACATGGCCTGTATTCATCCAGTTATAAAATCAAACTACTGAGTAGTTATGCTTACCTATTAGGAAGTAGTACTACTCAGTCTTGTGTGAATTAAGCTGTCTTTTTGCTAGGGATGGTTGGGGTCATCAGAAGAAAATTATACTGTAATTCACAGTGAGCATCTGTTTGGAGTTTAATAATTGGTGCCTTCTTACACAGTAACCCTGTTATTACATGCTGGCATTTTTCAACCTATATGGTTTTTAAACACTGAAAATCATAGATTTCCCTTCCATGGAAAGACATTTGAATGTATGAAGTATTTAAAAAGACATACCTGGAAGTATATTCTCTGAGCCTCAGCGGGCCTTGCTCCAAGTCTTCGGAGAAGCCTGGATAGTGCTGCTAGCTAGGGCAGGAGCAGCCCCATCGCAGGACCGCTGGCTGTACTAAACGTTTCCTTTCCTTTTTGTGTGGTTTTAAAATGTTGCATATTGACGTAGATGAAACTGTGGTCTGCAAATAGTTTAACTGCGTGAAAGGCTCTTCAAGAAGTTCTGTTCAATTCTGTGTATGCTTTTTAAATTCAGATTTGTCTGTTCTTTTAGAGGAAAGGTTTTTATTCATCCATTGTAATACCTAGTTGTTTTCTTTTCTTTCTTCTTCTTTTTTTTTTGTAAAGCACCCAAGGTGTGTTTTTCGTCATGATTTTAAAGAACATCAGTTTTTGGTGCCTTGAATGGTGTTATGAGTTAAAGATAGCAGGTGTTTACGCAGGATTTCTTTAGCACACGTACCGATACTCATCAGCCTTTCAAAGTTATAATTTAAAAAATTGTTGCATTTTGGATCCTGCTGAGACACCTGTTAACAAACAAAAAAGATGTGATTTAACAGAGTCTGATAAAGTGTATGTTTTATTTATCTTCATTCTTTTTTGTTCATTTTAGAAAAATCTGGAAATAGAGGAAAATCACTGTGCAGAGAATTACTGTGAATGTTTTTGGTACATGAGTTTAAAAATTTTTCTATGAGTATGTACACCCACTTAAAGTATTATTATGTTAGGCATACTGTTTTATAGTTTGTATGTTTTTATTCAGAAATATATTGGATCTGTTTTCTGTAAGTTACGAGAGTAAACCTGCAATGTGCATTTGTCAATTTGGCCCCAGCAGCATAAAGAATTGAGACAGATATTTAGTAACTAATAGATTGTAGGTAAGGGGACCCTCCAGTGTACTTTTACATTGTTTGGGTAAATGTTCATTCTGTCTGGGGGAGTAACTGTTGACTGAGTGTCTGAGTGGAGCCTGGCCTGGTAGGGGTCTAGCAAAAAGTCACTGTCTCTTGCACCCCACCAGTCAGCTTTGTTAGGTTATGTTTCTTGTATAAGGGTAGCTTTTATATAAGAGAAAATGAGCTCAGGTTCCAAGCATATTTTCTGGAGTTCTAAGTCCATTGGTCCAAAGTTGATTTGTAAGTGCAAAGTCATTGCCTGGTCAGTTAGGGTCTGGTTTCCTCTGTTGCTTCATTGGCCTGGTCAGTGCTTTGGTTTTATCTGTTTTTCTCCTAATAATTCTTAGTTATCCAGGTAGTAAAGAAAAAAGTCAGAAGAAACCTCTCCAGAATCTAAAATGCATCCCTTTTGGTATTTACTCTTCAAAAGGAAAATCGCTCAAAAGACTAAGTGAGAACTGTCAAGCTGGAGGGGATTTAGGGAGGGTCTAGGGAACTTTTGAAAACAACAGTGTAAGGACACTTAACGATGATAGTAGCAGTTTGTTTCAGATACTCTGATGTTCTCCCAAATTATTATTATTTTGTAAAATCATGATTTTTTACATATATTCACTTATAAATTGGAGGAAAAAATCCAGATCTTTCTCAAATTTCGTATTTGATTTTGGTTAAGAACCATTGTTAACTTCCATCAAAATAGTGCTTGGAAATGCTCTGTCTCTTAAGATTTGTGTGCATGGTTATTGGATAGGACTCAGTGAAAAATACACTTCAGAAAAGACATGCTTACAGACAGACAGGTAAGTGACCATGCATGATAAGGTTTTATGTTCACTGAGGGATGGAGAGGGTGAGATAGGAATTTGGTGAGATGCAATTGGCTATCAACTGAGTGGTGACTGATTTTAACACAGTATGAAGGAATACTGGAATAAAAGGGTTTTGGTAAGGTTTCTTTTACACACTTGATCTTAGCCAAAATGTCGAGAAGCAATGGTAAGGTTTCTTTTTTTCTTTGTTTAGGTAAACATTTATGTGTGTACTTCCTGTTCACTTGGGGATATGCATAGAATTAAGAAATAACTTGAGCTTCTCTTAAAAATCTACTATAGCCACAGTTTTTTGTATCTGAATTGCCAAATATAAGTCTAGTCCTCAGTGTCCTAGTTCCTTTTTTGGAATAGCAAGAAACCAATCTTTTAAAAGTGGAACCGAACCATGTTCTTCCTTTTGAGAATGAGCTAGAGGCAACCTGGTGTTTTATGGAAGTTTATTATTCACAGTGGAAACATGCCTTTTTTTTTTTTTTGGACTGCTGCATCTGCTTTTGTTTTTGTTTTTAACACGAGTTCCACTTGAATTTCCATAAGTCACTTCTTTCTGTTTCATTAAGGATAAGTGTTTTTCAGAGTATATTTTCTTAGTATTCTAGGAAATTTTGCATCATCACTAACCCAGTATTTCAAAAACCTCAGTCGGAAGAAGTGAGGGAAAGTTGTTTTCCCCCTTACCTTGGTCATGGCAATACTTTTTTTTTTTCAAGAAACAGACATATTATTCACTTCAGTGGATATTTTAAATGTTTACACATTGAAACTAAATCGTCTCATGAACTGAGAAAGTCTTTTTATAGTCAATCCCTTATCCATACAAATCATGTTTTTTTTATTTAATTTTTTTTCTGTGTTTCCATAAAACTTTATTCACAAAAAGCAGGCAATGGATGAACTTAGCCTACAGCCCGAATTCTTTCAGTTGCCAAACCAGTCAATTAATCTACAACAAAGGAGGCAAGAATACACAACGGAGAAAAGGCAGTCTCTTCAAGTGTGCTGGGGAAACTAGACAGCTATAAAATGGAAGGATATTTTGCCATTTTTGGCCCTTTATTCCCACTTTTTTTTCCATTTCAAAAACCAGAATTTTATAACTGACATAAACATTTCCATTGCATCAAAAACAACAAAATACCTAGAAATGAACTTAGCCATGGAGGTTACCTATACTGTGAAGGAAATTGAAGATGATACAAAGAAGTGGAAAGATACCTTGTGCTCTTGGATTGGAAGAATCAACATTATCAAAATGGCCACAAATCATGCTTTTGAGTTTATTGAACACAAATACCAAACAACAATATTTCAGTAGAAATATCACTTTTAATGTGTAGCAGTCTTAAAATTTGCTTTTAAAGCATAGCATGGTAGCCCTCTGGAACTAATGGGGAGGGGGAAGAAGATGAGTGTTGGGGTAGGAAGCCACTGCCCAAGCCAGAAATATGGGGCCGAGAACTTACTTTCTTAAAAGAATCCATGAGCTGGAGGAGCCTTGTCTCGTTACAGATGGGGAAACTAAGGCGTGGGGGAATTAAGGCCTCGTCGGAGCTGCACATTTAGACCCCAGTGTGCCAGCACTCAATTATGCTTCTTAAAATAAAAATGTTGGAGGGAAACTGTGGTTAGAAAGGAGGCCAGCAGGTCAGCCCAGGCTCTCCCCTTGCCCCCTGCAGCACACTGGTTTGCAAACAGTTTAGGGTCTGCAACTGTTTGAATTTGAATACCCCTGTGCCCACTGTTATCATGGAGTTCACAACTCGGAGTGCTCACAGTTTGTATCCTGGCGTTTTTTATGATCTTTGGGCAGGGGCCGGGCTCTGGTTAATGAAGGCTGGTGAGCGGTGTTTCTCCAGCAGCTTGTGGGCTCCAAGTCAGCCTTCTCCCTGGAGCCACTGTGCTTTAGGTTCGTGGTTTGAAAGTTTTTTAAGGCGCGTAATCCCCTTTCCCACCTGGATTGGTCCAAGGACATTTTTTCCATTGTTAGCTTCAAATCTGAGAGTGACAGACATGATCAGACAGAGTTGTTTTAAAGTGAGGTGTAGATAGCTTCCCAGAGGTTGCTATTTTCCCTTTTATTGAAATAGTAGAATTTTGGAAATATTTTGAAGGCAGAGGTGTTTTGCACATTCTTGGAATGTGAAGTTGGTTGTAAGGGTGGCTGAGTCTATGCCCTGTCACTCCCCTGGCCAGTTCTTCTGGTTTTTTGCCTTTTTGTTGACTCTGCAGTGTTACCAAGTCAGCATACAGCCCATCTCACCTTCATCTGGGAGGTGTGACTGTGCTGTTTGATGCTTGCTTATAAAACAATAACGGGGAAGTCCCTGAAAAAGAACTTTTAAAGGTTATCTTGTTTCTTTTTAGTCACTGAAGTTCATTTCCCCCCACCCCCCTTGAGTGGTTATGGTCTTTTCTTATGAAGTCTGAGTAACACGTTTTCAAAGCGCAGGACACATTTTATGAACTCTGTTGTTACCTTCCAGGAGAAGGCTTTTGGAGAGATTCTCCCTTGCCTTTGCTTGTGTTTTGGTCAAGTGGATAAGAAAATTCTAGCAACATATGTTTCTTGACTTTGTAGGCTGCATTCCGGGCTCCCATCCTAGACGGCATTTTTGTTGCCGTTAGCAGGTTGCAGCGTAGAAGGGGTGATGAGGAGAATGTAGGTGGGCCCTGGCTTGTCAGAGCCCATGGGGGTCCAGGAAGTGCAGTCTTCTGACGGAGGTGGTGAGAGCCGCTTCTGAGAAGTGAGGGGAGTGGCGGTGCCCTTGGGGGAAGAGGCACGTGACTGGGCTGTGGGGAGGGTGTCTGGGGACTCCGTCAGTCTGGGTGCGTGGAGCGTGTGTGCAGGGCCTGTGTGAGGAAAGGCTGGGACCAGATCTCAGATCCATCTGGCCAGTCTTGGGTGCTTCAGTTAGAAGCAGTGGAGAGCTCAGGGAAATTGTGTGAGGAGAGGCCCTGCCAGTTCCACAGTACTGAGTGAGTCTGCAGGTGTCAGAGTGTGTTGGCTTGGGGGAGAAAGGGGAAGACAAGAAGCCAGTTAGGGGATGGTCGCAATCATTTTAGGTGAGAGGCAGTAAGGATCTGAAATGGGCTGGGAAGAGAAGGGCGGTTGGGAACCGCCGCAGGGGTGAAATCACTGTGCTGCAGTGTGGGGCTGGCTGGGGAGCAGGCTGTGGTCTCATTCCTGGAAAGGGACCCTGCGGAAAGGATCTGGTTTGGCAGGAAGAGAGGCGAGTTTGGTGTTACTGGCTTCCTGTGCCTTCAGTGCTGCCTTGCTGTTTGATATAGGTTAGATTGCTTTTTATTTTGTTCCTTTCGTCTTGCTACCACAAAAGGAGAGCCGGCAGCTTCCTTCTACGAGTTGAAATTGACACTACAGAAGGTGGCTGGAGAAAGGGTACAAACCCGGCCCTGGTCACATCAGCTGAGGCCCCACTGCTTCAGCCCTTTGACTGAAGCCATGCCCACAACTGTGGCCCTACAGGTCTGTCGGCCAGTACATCTCTTTTTATTGCATCAGCCCAACTTTAGTTTAGTTTTTTGGGGGTTTTTTGGTCACCTACAAATGAGAAAATCTTGATCCATTGACTTTGCCTAAAAGATTAATCTCTAGACTCTAAAAACATCCTTTAATGAAGCTTTGTTTCTGCTTGATGGTGTCAGTGAAGCATGTGCCATTAGTTTTCCACTCTGTCCTGAACCCTAGTGCTGCTACCTATGTACTCTGACGGTGGAGAGAAAGGGGGGGGGGAGACATTTTTATTAAAATAGAAAATGTCTCTGACATCAAGAGATGCTATCATACAAATGACAAACATAAGAGATCATCTGCCCAAAACGACACGGGATTTCCTTTTGGGTAAAGGGCGCCTTGAGGGTTTGTGTATTTGGGGTAGGAGAGAACTGGTGCTGTGTGGTCTTTAACAGTAAAAGCTGCTTCTTCCTTTTGGTCACCTGTACTCTGGAAGATTCCAGTGGCATGCGGATTACCACTTCGTGACAGGACATCCCCAAAAGAGCCGCATTAACAAAGTGTTGTCTTCCTTTCCCACATGCTGCTTTTCAGAATGCTTTAACCATTTCGTAGCACTGCTTTTAAAAAGTGATGAAGTGTTATATTACTTTAGCTGTAGCAAGTATACATTACAAGCCTTATTTATAAACTAACTACAAAAGGGAAACAAATTATTCCATGAAACAATAGAAAAAAATCGTACTTGTGATCTCAGATAAGTTCTGGATTAATCCACTCTGCTGTTGCTCTACTACTTTATTTTTTGTTGTAGCCCTGAACCTTAAAGTTCATTTTCAAAAACATTAAAAAATTTTCTTATATTCATTGCTCTTATTTACCCAACTTCTCACTATTTGAATAAACCCCTTATAATCTGGCTTCTAACTCTAATACCTTACTGAAATTCCTCTCACTGATCTTCAGAAGTTAAATCCAAAGGTTTATTTGTTTGTAATCTTTTTTTTTTTGGGCAGGCTCTCTTCAGTTTATTGCATGAAGGACTCACACTGGTCCAAGTTAAAAGCAGACCCCAAATGGTTACATTATGCAAACTGTGAGGTTTGACCTTGTGACAAAGGGCAGAAGGGAAATTCTACTCATTGCAAGGAAATCCTCACTTAAGCTTCAGTGAGCCAAAAGCACTTAAAACCCATGAACCTTCATCTGTTTATCTTATTTGTTTGTAACCTTGATCTGACTTTTTCTTTTTTTAATTGAAGTATGATTAACTTACAATATCATGTTAGTTTCGTGTGTACAACATAGTGATTCAATATTTTTATACAAGATGATCACCTTGATAAGTCTAGTTACTATCTGTTACCAAAATTATTACAGTAGTATTGATTATACTCTACGTGCTGTATATTACATCTGTATGATTTAATTGGCTTTATAGCTGGAAGTTTGTACCTCTTAATTTCCCTCACCTATTTCACTGTCAACACTGTCCTCTCCCCTGCCCCATCCTCCTCCCCTCTGGCAACCACCAGTTTATTCTCTGTATCTGCGAGTAGGTTTCTGATTTGTTATGTTTGTTTGTTTTTTAGATTTTACATAAAAGTGAAACTATACGGTATTTGTCTTTCTCTGACTTCACTTAGCATAATATTCTCTGAGTCCATCCACGTTGTTACAAATGAGAAAATTTCATTCCTTTTCATGGCTGAGTAATATTTCATTGTGTATATACGTGTGTGTGTATCTTGCGTATTCTTTATCCATTCACCTACTGATGGACACTCAGGTTGCTTCCATATCTTGGCTATTATAAATAATGCTGCAATGAACATAGGGATGCATGTATCTTTTGAATTAGTGATTTTGTTTTCTTTGGAAAAAATACCCAGAAGTAGAATTGCTGGATCATATGGTAGTTCTATTTTAATTTTTTGAGGAGCCTCCATACTGTTTTCCATGGTGATTGTACCAATCTACATTCCCTCCAGCAGTGCATGAGGGTTCCCTGTTCTCCATCATCTTTAATACATGTTACTTCTTGTCTTTTTGATGACAGCTGTTCTGACAGGTGTGAAGTGGTATCTCAGTGTAGTTTTGACTTGCATTTTCCTGATAGTTAGTGATTTGAACATCTTTTCTTGTGCCTGTTGGCTATCAGTATGTCTTTGGAAAAATGTCTATTCAGGTCTTCTGTCCATTTTTTTAATCAAGTCACATGGTTTTTTGATGTTGAGCTATATGAGTTCATTGTATGTTTTGGATATTAACCCCTTATTAGATGTACTATTTGCAAATATCTTCTTCTATTCAGTAGATGGCCTTTTTGCTTTGTTGATAGTTCCCTTTGCTGAATAAAAGTTTTTTCGTTTGAGGTAGTCCCATTTGTTTTTATTTTTGCTTTTGTTACCCTTCTCTGAGGATACATGTACAAAATTTATTGCTAAGACCAATGTCGAAGAGCATACGGCTTATGTTTTCTTCTAGGAGTTTTACGGTTTTTAGGCCTTACTTTTAAGTCTTTAATCTATTTTGAGTTTATTTTTGTATATGGTATAAGAAAGTAGTCCAGTTTCTTTCATTTGCATATTGCTGTTCAGTTTTTATCAACAACATTTGTTGAAGAGGCTGTCTTTCCCCAATTGTATATTCTTGCCTCCTTTGTCATAGATTAATTGTTTGTATAAGTATGGGTTTATCTCTGAACATCCATTCTGTTCCATTGGTCTGTGTGTCTGTTGTTTTGCCAGTACCATCCTGTTTTGATTACTGTAACTTTGTAGTATAGTTTGAAATCAGGGCATGTGATACCTCCAGCTTTGTTCTTCTTTCTCAAGTTGTTTCGGCCTTTTGTGTTTCCTACAAATTTGAGAATTATTTGTTCTCATTCAGTGAAAAATGCCATTGATATTTTAGTAGGGATTGCATTGAGCCTGTAGATAGCATTGGGTAGTATGATCATTTTAACAATATTAAGTCTTCCAATTTGTAAGTACCATATGTCTTCCATTTGTTGGTGACATCTTCAGTGTCTTACAGTTTTCTAAGTACAGATCTTTTACCTTAAAAGCTCTAATTTGCAGTATCTGTTACTTAACTCTTGTTTCACAATGTCCTTATTGTCATTGCATGTTTTTTTTCCTGAAAAATCTTGTCTTTCACATTTCTGATTGGCTTTGGCACAATGATTACACAGTCATTACTTGGTGTTTCTCATCTTCTTTTATACTTTCTTTTTCTCCCGTGACCCAGTAGGGGGCATATAAAACAACAGTATTTGCTAATTTGTCCTGGCCAATAGAAACTGAATAAACACAGCTACTTTCTTTGGCAAATACATTTAGCCAAACAAATGCTGTAGCAAGCTTAGTTTTGCTAGGCACGTTTATCATGGGTTGGTGCTTTTGTCCTTTATAGGAGAGGATATTTGATCCAGAGCTGGGAGCAGGGAGCTTGTACTAGGGTGGAAGGTGGAGACAAAGTGTGGACACCTTCCCAGTTCTTCTTCAGTTTGAGATATGTTTTCTGAGTTTTGCCTAAAATCCGATGAGGTTCGAGAACTTATGAAATACTTATTTAAATACCACTGAAAAGTCAGTGGTAAATAGGATTTTAAAAATTCTCTGTAACTTCTTCCTGTGTGTTCCTCTGGTTCCTGTGTCTTCTGTTAATATGTACAACTGAGTGTATAAAGAAATTATGCATGTCCTGACTATGAGGAAATCTGATAGTGTTGTTTGGTATCTTGACTATTAAGAAACAAATTGACATTATTTTAAAAATATGTTTTTTATTAGTATATATATATATGACAAAGCTTGAAGTACATATAAACATGACTTACAAAATTACTTTAGGAGACCACTTGAATGATGGGCTGAATGTCTTCTAGCCAGTTAATAGCAGAGAAAGAATTTAGTTTTGATGACTCACAAGCCAGCAACCATATTCCATATCTGCACACATAAAACTTTTTTGCTTTTCAGAAAATGTGATGCGTAAATTTTCATTTTATGTGTAATTTCTCACTCACTATTGTAAATTTTAGATTTTCTTTTCATTAAGTCCAGTTGCTTTCTAAGAAAAGAAAACTACTTTTCTCCACTCCTAGAGAGTAATAATGTATGTTGCCAGCCTCGGGTATTTGTGTGTGTCTTTTCTCAGTCAACCTGTATTTTTTGTACACCACTGAACAGGGCAGGCTGCTGGCAGTCTGTGCCAATATCTAGATCCTCTCTGTAGAGTTGGCTTAAACATATTCTAACACCAGAATCCCAGGCTTACTACGTGGTTTAACTAAACTTCATATAAAACATATTTAAAATGTATCTTGTCTCCAAAATGCTATCAGAGAAAAAATTTGTATTTTTTACCACAATATACAGAATTTCTATCTACTTTCCTTTGAGATACTAATGGGGGATTTCTTAAGTAATTTTTTGGGTGTCTACTTATCCTGCTTCTTCAAATCAGAGAAAACTTGACTTTTTTTTTTTTTTTTAACTACAAGCAGGCCTCTAATCCTTTATCAAACTGTGCCTTCTTTTAAGGTGGTCTTTAATGACCCTGTTGAAAAAAGTTGCATACCTTGCTAACTTAATTCTTGTGTTTAGAGAAGGGAGATGCACCTGTGAATTGTCTTGATTGCGTCCTATTTTCTTTGCTATTTAAAGTTCTATATTAACTGACCAGATTATTGATTACAAATTTAAACCTTCTATTTTGATGGGATGAGACTGAATAACATATTATTTTTTCCTTGATGTTACAAAAAAAAGCATGGAAACTTACATTTTAATTTTATTACTGTAGTAAATTGGTTAGTAATGCCTAGAGATGATACTTATTATCATGGATATGCTTCTTATCCGCTTTTTAATTATGTAATAGAAGTTTACAATATGTATGCCCAGATTTTATTTGAAAAACCGTGGGATTTCACAAAGTATCTGTGCTTTCTTGCGTTATATTTCCCCTTCTGGTTTTGGAAGTTTCTGAGTCATGCTGAACTTTTAATGGGATGTGTAATTTCTTACATAAGATTTCTCTAAATGGCTGGCATAGAAAGAAATAAATAATGGGGTCCAGGCATATGTTTGCAGCTGACAGTAGCAGGGAGAATTCTTTCACGTAGAGAAGGATTTCTTTGGACTGGCAGCTAAAATGGGTTTCTGTCTGGCTCCGCGTGTAGGGGACTCTAGCAACGTGGTAAGGGACAAAACAGACAAAAAATACGAGCATGATGCTGAATATATTGCGGCTGGATTTCTTCTTGACTGAGACGGAATTCTTTTTGGACTTAAGGTGGGACTTAAAGATTTTCCTCGTGATAGCAGTGTAAAAAATGATTAACGAAAGGAACACAATCCAGAAGATGCCTATAAAGATGTAGTTTGAGGCTTTGTGCCACTTGAGGCCCAGTTCGTTTTTAAGGTCCACACATTTTATCCGCGTGACCTCCTTGACGCTCTGGTTGGTCAGGATCATGTTGGGGACGGCGAGCAGGAGCGTGAGCGCCCACACCAGCACCGACAGGAGTTTGCTGTTGTTCACCGACTGGATGAAGGATGTCAGGAGAGGCTTCACAATTTTATAATACCTGTCGAAGCCGATGAGCCCAAAGAACATGATGCTGACGTACATGTTGATGTAGAAAAGCACGGCAGAAACCCTGCACACGAACACGTTCAGCTGCCAGGGGCCCAGGCCCGAGTCGCCCAGAATCTTGAAGGGGAACGTCAGGCTCATCAGAAAGTCGGCCACGACGATGTTCTTGAGATAGACGATGAAACTTTTGGAGCTGGGCACGGAGAGGAACACCCACCCCGACACGCCGTTGAGCAGGACCCCGGCCACGAAGACCACGAAGTAGAGCCCGGGGATGATTTGCTGGGTTATGAGGGTGTTCTGGGGACAGGAGCCCTCTAGGGGCTGGCTGGTGGTGGTGGCATTCGTCATTGTAATGTCCAAAGGTGAGACCTGGAAGGTGAGGCAAGTAGGTGAGCAGGACACTCAGGGCCTCTGAGTCATTTGCCAGGTGATAGCTAAGGGCAGTAAATAGACCTGAGGCCACCAAGTTCTTGAAACTAAGTTCTTGCTGTATGTTTGCTAGGTACCCTCCCCTCCCCTCCCCCCCTCCCTCGTCCCTTCTCCCTTTCCTTCCTTTTGAAAAGGGAAGGATAGAGGTGACAGATGACAAGGAAGAAAAATTTGAGAAGTGGGACAGTCTGAGAACTGAGGTAATAATGGAGACCAGCATTTCCCTAAAATGATAAGGGTTCCTGTAAAACTCCGAAGTGCCTTACCAGCATACACGTCTGAATGAGACTGGTACTTTCAGTATAGGAATATGGGTGTCTTTCAAAATTGAGACATTCTGTGTTTTTTTTTTTCATTTAAAACCTGATTTGTATTATTTTGATAAATTAGGAAACAAACGCAAATGATGAAAGTACCTTAAGTATTCTGAGAAATGCTCCCCAGGGTGCATTCTAGATCTCCACTGCCCCGCGCGGCGGCCCCTAGCCATGAGTGGCCAAAGAGCACCCGAGGCAGGGCCAGTCCAGACTGAGATGTGACGTAAGATGCACACTGAATTTCACAGACTTAGGGTGAAAAAAAGAATGTAAAATATCTCAATATTTTTAATATTGATTACATGTTGAAATAATATTTTAGGAATATTCCATTAAATTATGTTTTTAATTTTAATTTCACTTAATTTTGCATTTTTAAGAAGATGAGCACTAGAAAATTTAAAATTGCATAGGTGGCTTGCATCACACTTTTATTGGACAGTGCTGCCCTAGGTATTAATTACCCAGAACCTTCCTTCATTAGAGAATTATGTGTATTCTTTTCTCCTTTTTTTCTTTTTTTTGGGGGGGGGAGACAGTAATTAGGGTTATTTATTTAATTTCAGAAGTGCTACTGGAGATGGAACCCAGGACCGTGTGTGTGCTAAGCATACACTCTACCACTTGAGCTGTACCCTCCCCCTGTATGTTCTTCACTGATGTTGGACATAATGATTTAGGGCTCAAGGAAGATTAGAACTTTTCTGGAAGGTTATTTGATGTATCAAAGAAACATTTATTGCCCATCTTATATGTAATGTTAACAACCTGCTTAACCCTTCAGCGGTCCGGTCCTCGTCCTCAGGATACAGTGCAACTCTTTAACCCTGAGCTACCAGACGTCCCTTCTTGGTCTGATCCCTACTGATTCCACCTCCAGCTATGAGTTCCCACTGGTCTGGACTCTTCTGCCTCCTTGTAGGTTCCATGATTTCTCTCACCTTGAACCTTTGCACTAACTTTCTTCTGCTACCTTCTTGGCTGGCTAACTTCTCTTCATCCTTGAGGCCTCAGCTTGGATGCCTCTTTCTCTCAGAAACTTCGCTCTTCCCAGCCTTGCTTGGGGTGGATTGGGTGTGAGGTCCCTTATGTGTGTGCTCACAGTTCCTTCCCTACCACAACACTCATCTCTCTGTTTTTTGATTCTTCTGCTACTGTAAGCTCCTTCAGAGGAGGGAGACCATGTCATTATTATTATTATTATTATTTTTTACCGTTATATTCCTAGTATTATATTTAGGACATTAGATATTTAAAGTATTTGTGAAATTATTTATTTCACAAATAAGTAATTTTTATTTATTTATTTGTGATATGCATTTATTTAATATGCAGTCTGAGAATACAGGACATGAATCCCTGCTCTTAAGAACTTTACATCTAGTCAGGGATCATGGAAAGGAAAGATTGTGGAGGACAGTGGGTTCCTTGAGGACAGAGAGTATAATATCTTGTTCTTTGTATTTCTGGTGCCAAGCATGGTGCTTTATATGCAGTCAGTGAAGGGCTCTGTCAGTGAAATTAAGGAAGTGTGAGAAAGTAGAATTTGGAAATGTGGAATGTGAAATTTGGTCTCATTGCAAATTAAAAAAAACATACACTCAAACTTTGTGTGCTACTTTTCACACAGTATCTTGCTTCTGTGTACTCTTCCTGCGTGCATTTGGCAAAACTAGAACTATTTCTAGCTGCTCAATTTTGCCAGTCCTTGAACTTTTGGAAGGAAATCTTAGCCCCTGCACACTTGGCTCTGATCATAAAGGGTTTGTAGTTAGCTTGCTTCTTTGTAGGTCTTCTGTGGCCTGCTTCATATTTTCAATGATAAGTGAAGGGGTCACATTTTCTGTTTTTAACTGTCCATGGTGGCAGAGAGGCTGTGTCTAGTAAACAATTGGTCTTGTCCCCTGATAGTCAGGTGCAGCTTAGTCTAAGAGCCCGTCTCCCAGAGCTTGAGAGAATGCTCCCGGGGTCCCAGTGCTGGGGACTCAGCCCTTCAGTCAGTGTGGTGTGGTGCACGTGATACATATTCAGTAATTGTTGGGTTCACTGGAATTTAAAATTTAAAATTGAAAAAAATGTTGGATGTCAGTACATTTTAAAGCAGAGAGAGATATTAGCTATATAATTACATAGTGAAATAATAATTTCTAGAAATGATTTGGTGAGTACCAAATTTCTCTCCTCATAGAAAAATTATAGAAGGCACCATCTAAGGGTGGGAGGGTATAGCTCAGTGGTAGAGCATGTGCTTAGCATGCACAAGGTCCTGGGTTCAATCCCCTAGTACCTCCATGAAAAAAAAGCACAACAACTTATTAAAAAAAAAAAAAGACTATCTTCAGTAATAGTGTAGAATTTCCAGAAATGATTTAGTGAGAGCCATAATTTCTTTCCTTTGCTTCTAGAAATCTGTATAAAGACATTTTCTCAGAGTCTTGTGACTTAAGCCCTCTTGAACTGCAGTATTTCTGCATGTAGCCTGACACCATGGGTCCAGAACCACGTTCTCTGAGTCCTCAGAGTGTCAAGAATCTGAGCGTACACGCCCTTGCGATGCACATCATGCCTCCTCCCTGCTCACTGTGAGGTTGGTGGAAGGGGCTGGCTGACCCAGGCAAACTTCTGTCGCAGGAGCGACTTCTGAAGTGAACTGAATACTCAAGGTTTGCATGGGTCTTTCTCACCAAACATCTGCTTGCTGTTTTAGCCTGCTTTTAAACAATCGCAGATAAGAGTCTCCGTTTTAGGATGGAAACATTTGAGACGCATTGGTTGGGGGAAGAAGCAGGGCACCACTGGTGCCTGTGCTGCTGTCTGGTTGGAACAGTGGAGGTGAATTAAAGGGACATTCTACATGAGTAATGAGCTGAAGGTAAATCCGAGACGATTTAGATGGTAATTTTCAAACTCTCAGGTCTGTCTGTCCTTTAGCAGTGGTGTTGATGGCGGGGCACTGCGTCCTCTGGGTACACAATTCACTGTACTTGGAGTCTCAGTGCAGCAGCCTTTTCTACAGTGATAGTTCTCGATGTGTGAAAAAGGAACTCTCGGAAGGCATCTCAGCGAGGGAGGCCACTTATATATTGAGACCAAAAGGCAGGAATGTGTGTTAGATGATAAATAGGACCAGGTAACAGAGACCTGTATCGCTTTGACCTTGTAACATCTGCCCAGTTTCCTCTCCTTGTCTTTAGTATAGAGGTGATTTAATATCCTGATAAAGAGACCTACTGAAACTTCAAATCATTTCACAGATGGAGGAAATAGTCACATACTGATGCTGATTTTATACAATAACATAAAAATAAATAAGAACCAAATAAATCAGAAAGAATGTCTCGGTGTTGGCCAACAACCCTCTGTTCCCTTTCCCAGGCTCTCAGCTGATTTACTGTTTCTAAGCAGTCTGTCCTACCCTGTTAAAGATGAGACAGGCAAAGGGGGAGAAAGAAAGAGGAAAGGCACCCCTAGATGATGCTCTACCGAAAAAGTGCATGCCAGTTTTTGGAAGTGTAGCCAGCTCTGCCCAGGGAAGTTACCTGAGGTTACCTCTGAATTTCTGTAGTGAAAATGCTCATTATGTTAACCTTGAGGCTTCAGGGAACATAAGCAAAGCTCCCTAAATTCCTGAAACCACATTTAAGAAAGATTTCAACATGTGGCAAACTTTTTTTTTTTAAAAAAAGGGACACTTAACAGTATAAGGCTTTAGCTTCTCTTAGGTGAAAATCTCCCTTGTTCCACAAATCCAGGTAAAGGAGAATGAAACAACATAAAATGTTTTATTTAGTCTGTATAAACTGTCACTTTGGGTCTTTGGTCACATAATTAAAGAATAGGGTGGAATGGGATTTGTGAGACCAGAAGACTGTTGAAGTGTAATAGGAACCTGTGAATTGCTCTCTCTCATTTTTTTTGCACAGCTAGAATATGAATGGCTAGTTTTCACTGTAATCTAGATAGTGGGTGCTCTAGTCCCTAGTGAAATGTTAGGTCTCAGTATGGTGATGCGTTAGTGTCTTCAAGTTGTGGAGTATTACATATCACCTCAGGGCTCTCTCTGGGTAGAATTTAGTTGATGCCGGACCGTGCAAAGCACTGCTCACTCCAGAAATACATTTATCTTAATAAGAACATGCTGAGTTCACTACTCATCTTCTGTGTAATTACACATGGTGACCCATTTTTCTCTTATATGTGGACCACCTTCCACTCTTCTCATTATGTGCTGGAATTCTTCTTTCTCTGAAGAAGAGAAATTATTCCTTCACAACATTTTGATGACATTAACAAAGCTCTCGATAATACTAAAGGATTTTTTCAATTACCTTTTGAAAAGTTCTGTCTAATATGAGGTTTCCTTTCAGTGAAGTAATTTAGCCCAGTGAGTGCTTGTCATCTTGAAGTGGCCAGAGTGTTTCTTCACTAATGATCCTGTACTGTAGGAGAAAAATGGAGAATTAATCAGGCTAAACGAACACCAGAATGTTTTTATAGGAGAAGTATGTATGGTAGCAGTGTACTTACTTTTTAAACTCATCTTTTATTATTGTGAAATATTTCAACTTGTGCGTTTGTTACTTCGTTTTGGTTGTCACTATTAATTACTGATTTGATGTAAACCCTTGTGGGAAACTTACAAACTCTTTATTTGAGAAGGTTGGGCATGAAGTGTTTTTAGTTATTTGTTTGTTTATTTAATGGATTTGGACACTCAAATCAGTTCATTAAATTACTGAAGTTAACAATTGACCATTTTAGCCAGGAAATCATAGGCGGGTTTTTTTTGTGTTTTTTGATTTTTTTTTTCAAACCTTTGCACCATTGGCATTTTGGGCCAGATAATTATTTGTTGTGGAGGACTGTCCTCTGCATTGTTGGATGTTTAGCCACATCCTTGGCTTCTAACTATTAGATGCCAATAGTATCATCTCCCCAAGTTATGACAGAAATGTCCTCTGGAAGGCCAAGTTGCCCCTGGTTGATAACTGCTGATCTAACGACACTTAAGCTTGGACTTTGCAGAGATAACACCTGAAAGCAGTATTGTCTGATAGGAAGAGGATGGGTTTGTCAGAATGGTGGTTGGATTTGGTTCTGTTTTGGTCTAGGTTGTCACCTTTCTGAATTCTTTAGGCCAGCTCTTTTTCAGACTCTCATGTGTATACACATTTCCTGGGGCTTTTGCTGAAATGAAGACTCAGATTCCATAGGTCTGCAGTTGGGTGTAAATGGTGATGCCTCCAGCCCAGTGACTACTCTTTGACTAGCTAATTTTTTTTTAAGACCGTGTACACAAGGGACATTTAATAAATATTTGGTGAGGGGGGTTAAAAAAAATTCTCTTTTTGCTGTAGTTGGGACTTCAGGTGCGAGAAGTTACATTATAGGTAACCTGAAATCTAGACTCTTAAAGTTGATTCATTATTGATCGCATCATAATAATCTCATCCTTCTGGTCTGGAAATGTAAATAGATACTTTACGGAGAACAGTGATAAATAGCATCTTAGATTTACCCCGACTATTCCTGAAAGGTCATGAAACTCTCCTTAAAAACAAAGAGATTCAGTTCTCTGTGGTATAATAGTGTATGTGATGCAGGGCAGTACTGAGCATGACCTGGTCAGGCATGAGATAGTCTAACTTCAGGATGGTGCTTACTCAGAGAGAGGGAAGAAGGAGCAAGGGAGGGCATGGGGTGGTGGGGCCTGAGCTGTATTTGTGGTGTTTCGTCTCTTCAGTTCTGAAACGACTAGGCTTAAATATTACTGTCAATTAACACTGGGTGACTGGGTGCATCGGTGTTACCAACATTAACTTCTGTATTTTGTGTACTTGAAATATTTCATAATTAGAAAAAATGTCTATGGAGAATGGATTGTTTTCAAATCTCTCTTTAATCAGTTTTCACCCATGATGAGCGTTTTCCTTCCTGATCTTTGTTCTGTACTTACACACTGACAGTCGGATGTTTCCTCCCCTCTCTGTACATTCCAGACAGGAACGGCTTTAATCCAGGGCACCCCAGATCTTCTCGTATGAGATAAATATTTGTTTTGTAGATGTGTGTGGTCGTTGTGTACCTTTCCAAACTTACTAAAGCCATTTTCTTATTACTACTTTCCCCTTCCTTGTTGTAATGTGTGGCTTTTGTCTTCTCTTTTTGGTGCCAGCATAGGGTATCCTAGATGGTTTCCAGAGCAGTCATAATAGGTTGAATAGAAAGGGGATTTATGTATGGGCTACATACTTGTTCAGTCTTGCAGTCATAGTTTGTGATATTTTATGTTATTAAATGCTTTATCACATTTTATATTTAAAAATATTTTATACTATTGAATAGTATTAATTCTAAGTCTGTCATTAGGCTCCTGGCCTTTCTTATTCCATGGTGGTTCCGTATTTTAAAATTTCTTACATCCTGACTCTTGATCCCGCCTCTTTCCCAACATTGTGACTCC